ACTACGAAATTTCAACTCCGTGGTATATAATGGTGTATACACAAGCCCGAAGCCAAACAATCCCGGAAAACAACAGTCGATCTATTATATACGTATAAAACACAAGCGGCGGACAAGATCGACGGCCGAGATTGTCCCTATGCAAGCAGGTATACGTATATGTATACCCAAGCGAAGAGGAAAAGGATCGGCTTCTTTGGCGAAAGAGCACCGGTGCGCACTTTCTTCGGGTACGACCTTTGCCGGGGTCACTATACTCTATTGAAGCTTCTACGTATACATACATACACGTATACATTCTCAGATCGAATTTCTCCGTTCTCTCCTTTGTGTGTGCATGTATACATGTATGTTCGAGCGCGTATACATTGTGTGCCTATATTTATATCTTCACTGGAAGTACCTTTTATATCGTAGTTTGTCTTTTTTTTTCCTTCCTCCTAAAAGATGTTTCGGTGCTGGAAAAAAATATCCTTTGCCCCATACGCTCAAGTTCATCTACGCTTCTATTACAAGGATTAGTCGATCGATTTGTGCTGACGAGCAAATAATGATAAGCTCCAAACTTTTTGTGCGAAGAAAAGCGACGTGATAATGCACTTTCTTACGTTAATGAAAATTTAATTTCTCGTCCGATTCTCATTGTTAATTCTACATACAACCGGTTGAACTCCCTCGATTTGCGACTCGTGTCGTATAAACCGTATAACAGTCGAGCGAAAAGGAAAATGATCGTCACCTGGTGTCGATAAGAAACAACGTATCTATACTACTTCTCTCGTATAATATTTATTTCACTTTTCCGACCCTGCGCATAACAGGCCGAAAAATAAAAAAAAATCGATCGCGACATATTGCGCCACTCACGCAGTTTTAGAGAACAGGATCTGTGGGACACCGGTGTTATAAACGTTTCATTTTCGCGTCTTGGGAAATATTTCGGGAAACGTCTCTCGCGCGGACCCGCGTGCACACGCCCGTGTAACGAATAGCGTCTCGGAAAAGCGGAGCCGCGAATCTCCGCGCGGGACGTAACGTTATACGAGGGCTGAAAAAAAACATATCTTTCGCAAGACCTAATTTTCCCTCATGGCGCGCGCTCGGACCATTAATTCCCGATCGGCGAACTCTTCTTCTCGTCGTGCACCTGTGGTATTAAGCACCGCGTTCACACGTAGCGGCCGACGAACTAAAATTGAAATGAAGTAACGCAACTTTGTGCAAGTGAGTAATGAGCTATAGCTTAGAGGGGGGGAGCCACACGCGTGTGCGTTGTTGCTTTTGTTTCGCGCGCGAATCGTATGAACGTTTTAAAGACACCTTTTGTTATTGTTATGCAACTTTGGGTCGTACTTACTGTGATTTTTGTGAAATAGTTTCCCCCTTATAAGTAAGGTAGAGGACCCAATACTCGACCACTCTACACAATTTTGAGGTTGTTTTGACCAAGGAAACAAAATAAGTATTAAAATTTAACACTGCCATTATTGGACAGAATAAACAAACTATTCAACTTTATAATAATACAAATAAAAAAAGAATTTCCGTCTAAAATTTAATTACCTGAAAGATAATTAATTGATTCATAAAAATATCTATCCTGCAATTTATATTGAATTTGAATATTTTTAAATCTTACTTATTTAATTTATAAAGGGAGATTTTTTGTTTTTCGCTTTCTTTTGTGTAATATTCGTAACATTACTCCTAAATACGGGACTGGTCCAGTATTGGGTCCACACTACCTTCCTGCATAAAAATTCCTCTATCTTTACACACTGCAGTAGTGTCCCGCGCAGGATTATCGCACACCGTACAGTCTTGCTACAGTTTTTCAAAATTATTTTATTCTCGTCAACTGTACCATTGCAACAGTTCACGAAACAGAGGCACAGCCGAAACTGTTTTCCTTGTCCGAGCGCCATTATCAAAGTTACACCAGTGGCTTCTCGCGGATCGTCCGACCGCGTCGCGATGACCCGAAGGGGTCCCTCTCAGATGCTCACTTCCGCCATTAGTGAAAGGTGGGCAGCGCACTTAGCACGCGCTCGCGCTACTATATGTACATACACTTACGCGTGCACACATACACGCGCACATATCTTTTTTCCTTTTTTTTTTTTTTTTTTTTTTTTCATTACCGCAGACAGGTGTCGATCTCGTGGTGCACGCGTGAGATTCGTCGTCGTTGTTGCTACTGCGTGCATTTGTGTGTATTTTTTGTTGATTTGGTGCTATATATAGAGGAAAGAGCGATCGCTGATGCGCGAGTGATTTTGCTAAAGTCCGGGTGTACTGTATGTATAATGAGAGTTTGTGATGCACGAGGTTGGATAGTTCGAGCTTTTTACAGCAGCACGTTTAGTTTTCGGGGACAAGGAAATAAATTTTCCGTCGTTGTTTCGCCATTTGTTTATTTATATCGTCCACTGGTTTTAAATGTCAAATGATGTTTTAAACTGCAAGTATACTTAATTCTAAATTTTTAAGACAACTTGAAGTACCTGCTCGTTAATAATATTTCGTCACAAGTTGGAAAAAAAAAAAAAAAAAAAAAAAAAAAAAAAAAAAAAAGAAATAGAAATAGGTGCAATGAATTTTAGCCTTACAAAATCGGCAACTATCGATACCGAGTCTTACGAAGCGCAGCCATTAAAAACTACCGTGAGAAAAGACGCGTCGACGCGCGCTGTCCATATTACGGTGTTGGTACCTCACGAGCACCCCATGATTATTTCATCAGCGCAGCCGTTTTACATCAAATTACCCTTCGCCTGTCTCTACAGTTTTGGGGGAACGAGATAATTTTCGGCAGCGTTATTTTTCATTCTTTTTTTTCTTTCTCCGCGTGCGTTTATGGTAATTCTTTTGGGTCTCTCCCTCGGATAAGATCGACATCGTGAATATTATTACTATTATTATTATGATTCAAGTTAACAGAGACCTCAAGGTATGAATTTAAATTGTCGTTTAAGGGCATTTTTTTCGTAATTTCCGTAACCGGTTACGTAAGCACCTAACTGCGAGAGCAGGTGTCGATGAATCCCACCAGTTTTCACACGAGTTTTCGCTCATTTGGCAAAATATTAATATCGACATCGGACGTGCGCGTTTACACCTGCTTTCTACTTGTCTTTTACAGACGGTGAAGTAATGATTTTGCGTAAATCTATACTGGGCATCTCTTTCCGCGCGTCTAATAAGTCCAGCATAACATATACCGTGGCAATGACGAAATCGAAAACACGGAAAAATCTAAATTAGTACATATATATACATGTATATATGTCACGGTTGCGCAACTCGATCGTTTTGTAACACACACGTGCGGATATCTGTGCCTACGATTTTTCAATGCAGTTTAACGAGATGGGCATAAAATCTTAAAATGTGCTCGAGCTTGTTCAGGTGTACCATCTTGAAAAAAGTTTTTCCACCGACTGGCCAACAACAACCCATAATCAATAATCCCCATTGGGTCTCGTAAGTTTTTCCTCGTACACCGATCTACGATACGCGGCTTTACGATCCGAGCATTAGTCGTACATGCGAGTGAAGGAGTCGCGCATCACTGGCAGAGAGTTGGCCCTTGCGCAATTTTTTTTTTTCTTCCTTCTCTACCTAAGACATCTCTTTGCGCCGATCGTACACTGCAGCTCTTTCATTCAACTCGAGTCCAACGAATCGCCGTTGCTTCGCGGTATGATTGCGATTTCGGATTAGCCGTGCGCGCGGCATTCATCATTCGAAAGTGCGTCTTTGGTGCCTGCTCGAGAGCTCTCTTGTTGCTGCGAACAAAAAAAAATCTTTTATCGCGCCTGTGCCCCGTGGACAAACGAAAACGAATCGGGAACGCAGCGCGTGAAGCGAGAAGAAGAAGAAAAAAACGGGGGAGGAGGAGGAGGAGGATCGGTAATCCAATCTTGGCAGCGGACTTTGCCGGAGCGGCGGAGAAACGAGCGAGGAAAATAATAATAAAAGAGAAGGGAAGATGTAAAACACTTTCGCCGCAGATATTTAAATTGGCGAGAGACGCGCGCGCGCACGTTGCATACCCCCCTCGATCGACATTATTATCTGACCGGTGTCCGTGTAACACAATCTCACAGGGCTACTTTCACTGAGGATGATGACGATTTTTGCCTTTCGGCTCGGCGCTCGTTACTTCTCTCTCCTATACTTATATACTTGGACACTTTGGGACTTTTTCTTCTTTCGCGCGGTACTTTGGAAAAAAGCGCCTTTTAATCGATCTCCTACTCGCTCGCGAGTAATTTCGCTTGCTTTGTTCTTCGCGTCTTTACGTAACGAAACGTGAGATTCGCGGGGCAGGAAAAAAAAAAAAGAAAGGTTTTTTTCGTCCAGTGACTTTCTACTCGATCATTCAAATCGACACTCGAGGGATCAATTTCACTTCGATCGGCGTCACTGTGCTTGAACATTACTCAACTCTCGAAGGATAAGTACTTGGCTTCCCTTGACTTGCGCAGGTCCGACCGCTTCCCCCGGTCTGACTTTAGTATGCCACGTGCTTCTTTGCCTTTTCCCACCGAGTAACGAAACTCCGAGACGAAATTCCATAGCATCCATCAGAATGAGGGATTCACTTGACTCATTTAAAGCACATCACCACAATTAATATACTATCAAAATCAAGAGAGAGATAAATAAGTTACAAACGAGCGTACATATAAGGATTCATTGTTACCATAGAAATTTTGTATCTTGTTTTATATGATGTCTTTACTGCAATTATATATACTATATCGCTTTCTGGCTATATTTGCGGAAGAAAAGTTATTTTGATTGTGGCGTTGACAATGTATTAATTTGCGACATCCTATGTAAAATTAACTGTTTGTATTTTCATTTTGTAAAAGTACGAAATCTACCCTTGGCATCAATAAATCACAGTTAAAATCAAATTTCTTCAGATTGGGCTGAAACGACGGAAACTGGAAAAAGGACAAATGTTTTTTCTTTTCAATGAAAATCACTCATGCATCGTGCAGCTCGATATGTTTATTCAAACATAATTGAAAAAAAAAAAAAAAAATTAGCCTCATCGTTGATTCCCCATGCAACTACGGTACGAAAAGTATTAAGCTTAGTTGACCTCCGAAGCGATCGTTAACAGTGGCTCCCCGTCGGCGCTCCTTTTGCCGCGTCCGAAGCAGGGCGCGACGTTGGGCAGCTGCTTCTGCTTGCACCCCCTGGTCCAGCCCTTCCAGTGCTGGAAGCCCCTCGCCGCCTGGATCTTCTTGGCGCACTCGATGTCGTCCCGTATGTCGTCGTCGAGGAAGTCGTCGCACTTGGCGTTGCACTTGCCGCCCTTCCTGTAAGCGCTGCACCACACGTCGCTCGTTATCTGAAACACCCCGTACGCGTAGCTGGACTTGTGCCCCGGCCCCGTCTTCTTGCTCGTGTTGATGCCGCTCTCGTTCTTCATTATGCATACGTAGTTGCTGACGAAGCTCCGGCTGACCCCGGCTATCGCCAGCGCTTGGGCCGCCTCGCACTGCCCGAGGATCCTACCCTCGCTCGGCGCTGTTGCAGCGACTACGATGGCCAGGAGAACGAGGATCGGCACGGGACTCCTCGATCTGTCGGTGATTCATCGTTACGCTTTAGGCTTTGTCGGGTATGGAAATGTGGGCCGTTCGGGTGGGGAACGGGAGCGCGAGTGTGGGATTCATGCTAATCGAGTATGTATTTACAGAGACCCAAAATGTCAAGGTCGGCATTTTCTCCTTGGCCGCTGCTTCCCGACTGGAAGTTCGAGGCTTTTTCTATTTTTTTTCTTTTTTCTTTTTTTTTCTTGCGTTGCAGTGTTTTTGATTTTTCGCTTGGAAATCGCGTCGGTAAAAAACGAATCGAGAATCGTGCAAATCGCGTATCGTGGAAAGTTTTTAAAGGTGCGCGCGGTTCGCGTTATCTCGTGACAAGTTGTGTGTTTTTCAAATACATATATATATATACGTGTAATAAAAAAAAAAAAACAAAAAAAATATGATACGGCACCTTTTGTTTGGATGATTTTCCTGCAGTATTCCTCTTTTTTTTGCGTATAATTTATCTACATTAATTGTCTCTCGTATCGTGCAACAACGCGCGTATAGTAAATGCTTTCAACGCTTCGACGAGAATATCATACCCTGAACGTTATCTGTTTTTATTGTTTATTGCGTCATTTGTATACATACGAACCACCTGATTTGGATTCTTTCGTCCAGTAATTAGGGCTTCACAAGAGTTAAGAGTAATCTTGTTATTGTCTTGGGTTACAAGACAATATTCAATATAAAACGCGAGTCAAATTTTTAAGACAATATCAATACCAATATCTATCTCAAAAATATTGTCTTGACAAAAATTATTGACCTTCCGTGCGTGTAGTAAATTTGGATCAATTCAACAAAAAATTAAATATTAATACGCCAAACTTGATCTTTATTGATACTTAATAATTTAATAATTATTTATTAAAAAATATTAATGAATTCTTTGTACATAAATTTACCGAATTCAAAGCTTTCATAGTTTTGCTCTTCAATGATATTTTTGTGTTTGTTAAAATAAGTGCTGATTGAGAAAATAAACGCTCTATAATAAGTGACAAAGCTAATTGGCCTAATACATCGTTAGCCATTTTTGATAAATTATGATGTACTCGTTAATGATTCTTCTACCAATACATAACATAAATATAAGATAAAAAGAAAGCATCAGCATAAAGAAAAATTGAGTGTCTGTAGTATATTTGTCATTTCAGAAAAATTGCGAATACCAAGACAATACAAAACCAATACAAGATACACTGACTCAGTAACAAGACAAGGCTCATTTTTTCAATATTTTTCAAGAGCAATACAATATCTTATTTAACATTGGTTTGTCTTGCTCTTGTGAATCCCTAAATTCCAGTTACGAGGAATCATTTGGACCGCAAATTGGATATTTTTCCAAAAGAAAAATTGTCGCGTTCCTTTGAAAGCTATGTTTCGATGTTGGCCATACAATTCAATGAAAATTATAAATATTTTTCAAACATAACCAGTTGACCCATTGTAATGATAACTCTGTGTAACCAACACATACATGATATATATTATATTTGATAGGTTGAAAATTTCAAGCATACCGCGCGTATATCATGAATAATTCATAACTTGAAACAGTTGAACAATTGACGTAAGAAGACGATTCTCGAAAAGTCCAGGGGATAAGTACGTGTCCGAACGAGGAAACTTTGGAGCGCGGAAAAAAAGAAATCCGCAGAGTTACAAGACACATGAAAAAACTTACGTGGCCATCAGACACCCACACATCTATTGCCGGCCGGGAAGTCACACTATATAGAGACTAGACCGCGCGAGCGCGTGACTTAGGAATTTCAAAACGCCGTCAAAGTGAGCCAAAGCCTTCACGACGACGACGACGCGTCTCGTTAAACTGGCGGAAGCAAATTCATTGGACGTGCCTTACTTACCTATATATTTTACTTTGTGAATCGCGGCATAATATGTAAGTAGTTTGCTCGTTGTCTCACGGGCACGCGCACGCGTCTCCGGTGCCGCTGACGTCGACGCGTGTGATAAGGGAGCATTATCATCTTGCTTGTCCGATGAGGGTGCGGATGCTGTTATACACGTGTTTTCATGCGACCCTGGATTTTGACTGCAGGTGTAGTTGCCCTTACAGCCAGACTTGGTCTTTTTTTATGACTTCCATTATTCCATATGATGATGGCTTGTACTTCCTTACCTTAGAAATGTCACATGACGAAGAAGTTTGCAGTTTGATCGAGATAATTTCGTGTCTGTCTCAAACAGCTTTGAAAGCAATAAGTTTACAGAGGAGATTTTACGTTTCTTCTCCATCCGAAGAAATAAAAAATGAGGCCACTAGTATACTCTTGCCTGACGATAAATGTATCATCTTTATCGAAGATGCGATTATTATTATTTTTTGTTTTTTTTGGGCTGTCGAAATAGTTGTTACTATCATCAGCAAACCTTTTTAATGTTTATCGAGAAAAAAATACAACACTCAATCGAAAAGGAACATGTTTATTACACTACATACGATACTGGAAAAATATATGGTTTAAATCTCGACAAAAAACCAAAAGTGACTTTTTTCCAAAGTAGCTCCCTCGCACGAAGCTCGTTCGTACTTCGCACGCTATACCACCAACTTTCAGTCGGTGCGAGATCTTGTTTATCTCCCGCAGCTTCCTGACCGACGCTCGTTCCCGATTCCCTCCACTTTTTAATTTCCAATGATAATTTTTTTTCCCCCCCTTCAAAACATTATTATCAATTGGTAACTATAACTTTTGCCTCCCACTTTTTCCACAAAATCCCCCTATCGTACACTCCAGACCCAACAAATCAACGTTAAAATGACAATTAGGTATACCCTCGATCAGAGTATCGTCAATTCCTTTATAATTGCATCCTCCCACTCGTCGGGTCCACGCACGTACAATTAGTCTGCCGAGACAATTCGGGCCTGTTTTTTTATTACGTCTTTTTTTTCATCCCCATCATCATCATTACATGCAGAGCAGCCGAGTTTTGAATAGCGATCGGAAGACCCCCCGCCGGGGCTTTAATGCTACCTTCCTCCTCCTGTTGTCGCTGCAAGCTCAAGCTCGTCTACACACCCACACGCATATAAAAACACTGTTTCAAACTAACGATAAAAAAAGAAATAGAAAAAAAAAAAAAAAAAGAGTTGAAGCATCGCTAAAGTGCGGTGCATTCAAGACGAGAGAATCATACAGTAGCGTGGCAGTACAGTAGTGTAGGCAAGGCAGAGCTTTCAAGGAGGCGGAGGAGCAGCGAGGTATTCCTCCTACGGGAACAAAGTACAGTAGAGAGAAAGCATTGTACTCGCGCATTGTCCACCCGTCACGCTGTCAGAGAGGAACCTTCCCCTTTCCTACTCCCTTCTCCTGTATACACACGTTCTTCGTCTCCCATTTGCAAAGACGACTGGCGCGCGTAAGTTGGCGGTAAAAAAAAAAAAAAAACTCATCCTCCGATGCTCCATACCGCGTGCGTTTTGCGCGACGCTCATCGATGACTAAGGTGTTTTTTTATCATTATTATTATTTTTTTTTTTCGGGACAAGAAATGACGTAGAGAGCTTTTTGCAACTTGCAGGAACAATATGGATGGATGACTTGTTTTTTGCAGTTAATTTTCCAAAAAATAGGTAGCGGAAAAAAAATTAACGGCGTACGGCGACTCCTCACTCGGGACTGCGCGATTATACCCGCAATACGTTGTGTCCCTTTGACACGCTGCTTTTTTGCACTCGCCACTCGACAATACAAAATTACCCGGCAGGCCTTTCAGCTGCATTCGCGTGAATAGCGATTTCGGTCCTTTCGTCTGAAAATCCTTTTGACACTCCGCTCGTGTGTACAGGCACATAACATGGTATATTATTGAATCGACGATGCTTGCGTCCTTGAGCCCTCAATGGAGCCGTCAATTGACACTGTTTTCATTGAGTGCTCTTATTTTATTTACAAAAAAATATCGAAGGTTCGTTTTGATATTTCACTCGTTATTTTGACAATATCCTCCTTCCGGTGTTTCATATTTTTCTCATCGCAAGATAATGACGATGCTATAGTGTTTGATGGCTTACTGGTTACAGTTTTCGTCGATCCACGATAAAGACCACTATTTAATACGAGCCTTTATACACCTCTGTTTAGCCTTGGAACGCAATTACAGTATAAGTAATAAAAACACGTGCAATGTGATGACGCAAATTGGCAAATATTTTCGTTTTTAGTGACGAAAACCAAAACACTTTCCGAAAACAATTATTATTTTTTTGTTTTCAAGTTTAAAATAATATAAATATTTACGCGATGTGGCCATTCATTCGTATAAAATTACATTACGCGTCTGCTGCTGAAAAAAAAAAAAAAAAGGAAAAAAAAAAAAAAAAAAAAAGAATACCATTCAGCAGCAAACAAACGCCGGGCTAACGAGCTGTATACACCGAGTTGTATGAAGGTTGAAAAAAAAAAAAATTACACTCGATGCAAAATATTTCTGGTATCAATCAGCTTCGAATGTATGCGGGAAAAAATAAACAAAAAACAAAAAGAACCCACCGAGTTTACCGAGCGATGAAAAAAAAAGTTGAGTTTAGCGGCGGGTGGGTCCGAGCTTTCAAAGAGCTGTAAGAAAAACCATAAAGGCGAAGCTCCTTCGCGGGTCCCGCGGAAAGAGAGAGCCGCACATACACATGGGCTTTGAAAGGCGTTATGATGAAGCGACGTCAGCGTTTTGTGAGCGCCCGCGCGCGCTACTTCCTCTCTCTCTCTCTGCCTCCGCGGACGTGGTATACAGTCGTCGTCGACGTCTACTCTTCTATTGATGAAAAGCGCGCGCTTGCTCCCTCCCACCTGCCCCTCTATCTAAATCCAGCAGTTTTGAAAGGCCGACGCCGATAGCGATTCATTTCTGTGGGTATTGATAATATTCGGGTGGNCCCGGCTCCTTTTTATCGCTAACGTCGAACCCTCGAGGTCCACGCTAATTAAATCTACCCGCATACACGCAGACTGACGCGAGTATTGTACCATGCCTCGCTCTTTTCATGTCGATCCCCCGTTTCTCAGGGAGCTTTTTTTTTTTTTTTTTTTTTTTTTTTTTTCTCTACCGGGTAGCCACTCTTTTTTTTGGGGGTTTTGATAATATTGGGGGGGGGGGGGGGGAGTTATATAGCTGGAAACCACCCGAGGAGCGAAAGCTCGCGCGCGCGCGCGCGTATACAATGGGCTGGCTTGATTAATAGGGTGCCGTGACTCTCGCTGCGCGAGTGAGACGTTTGTCATTGGGGAAAAATAAATCCATCCCCCGACTCGGATGGCGTTTAGCGCTTTTTCTTTGTTTGCTCGTTTTTCTGGTTGTTATTAAATTTTTTTTGTTTACCTTACGTTTTTTGCTTGAGATTGTATAGAGATAGTTTTGCGGGTGATTGAATAAGCTCTTGTTGGTCAAATGGGTAACATTAACCGGGTAGTCGAGAGATTTTGCAAACAACTTGAACTGCGTCGAAAGGGGCTTGAAAAATTCGCGATTTCTCTTTTTCCTCCGCGGGGCCGGGGGACGGGGGGACAAGAAAAAAGAAAAGAAGAAGCAGGTACACGTTTTTTTCGACCCTTTCAAGTCCCACTCTCTCCTCCGTGCGTCGCTTTTGTTCCCTTTGTATTTTTGTCTTACTCCGTTTCTATTTTCCTAGTCACTTCTTTTGTGCTCCCGCTCTCTTTCCCTCCTCACTCCTTTTGTACTCGCTTACACATCATTTTTGCCGTATTGTATTGTTTTCTTTTTCTTTCTTTTTTTTCCCCTTGCAACCCAGCTTTTGAACAGTGTCCCCCCTCTCTCCGCTTTTTCTCGCCATCGGGCTTAAATGCTCCTCGCGCCGATGAATGACACCCCGATGATTTTCTCGTCATTCAATTAACAGCGATGCATGTACTCCTACACGTGCGATTCGCCCGAAAGAATCCAAACACGTCAACTATTTCTTTCCTCCTTTCCCATTATCGTCGTCTATGCGCGTACGCATCTATATATATATTATATACGTGTATATACATTATCGCGCGGGCACAAAGCCTTTTCTCCGCTGCTTCCTCTTTGTAATCGTCGTCCTCCCCCTGCGAGAGCGAATACATTCTTTTCACAAGTTCACCCGATTCCTCGTGCGCCTCGATACTTTTTTCCGCCTCCTTCTTCGCTCTCCCGCGCTTCGTTCACGCGTCATTCAAGCTTTTGATACCGGGGCGCAACTCCCCTTCGACATACACATACATGTATGTACGTGGGCTCTTTCTCTGATTCTTTTCCATCACGAATCGCGAGCTCGACTCTATACACGTGTGTTTATTGTACAGAGTACGGTTTTTACGGATGCAAATGAAAGCTGCTGCTACTCTACTGTGATACAGCTTTGGAAGGTTCGTGTGAAGGTACACGAGATTTTTTCAAAACAAATTCTTGGGCATTGAGTCGTGTTGTAAGGGTAAAAAGTTATAAAACGTTGTTTCGCAAGTGCTGCATTAGAGGCACAAAGAGTCAATTGGAGATAATTTTTTTGTCTCGAATCTTTGTAACTCTCGAGGACGTAAGCGCTACCACATGGCGGAATGGGAAACGTGCCAATGATGTCTTGGACTCTTGTGAAAGAACCCAAATTTAAATCGGTTTTGGATTCTGATATGGTGTTAAGATAATATCTAGTTCCTTTTTATAGACCTCGTTTGGTATTGGCGTTGGAGTGAAGAGACCAGATAATACAAATTTGAGTGACATTATCTTACGAGATATATTAGTTCTCCTGATGGCTACCACTTTATTTTCGTCGTAAATACCTAAATGCTATAAAATTTAATTGAAAATTCAGGCTTTTCAAGTATGATAAAAAATCGCTCACTGAAGGCGTTTGAGATACAAAATTTTTTAGATAGCACTAATGCAACTAGGAGGTACATCATGATGACACGGTAAATTGTCACGATTTTTCTAAAGGTTTGCAGTGGTGTTTAGAATGATTCGCAGGTATCAGGATTAAAAATTTTTAACTCTTCATCCGTAGGAATCACGTCTTTCACGAGAATTTTGTACGTATCAACTGGGCAATACTTTGAGCAATTGTTAATTTCCAGTTCAACAAAACCGTCCGTGGTTCCGTTCCATTTCAACATCTGCAATTCGTATAAACTGTTTTTATAGCAGTACAAATTTGAAAAAAATACAATATAGTTACTTACTCTAATGTAACGTTTCTGTTTTGAATCTTTGTAACTCTCAACGACGTAAGCGCTACCAAATGGTGGCATATAAAACGCGCCAGTGACGTCTTGGGCTCTTGTGAAAGACGCCAAAGTCAAGTCATGTGTGCTATACAAGTAAATTTTCTTCTTATCATTTATATTTTTTTCAATGTTTTCAATCATTTTTCTGATAAGTATACCACCATTGATTCTTTTTAATTGATTATTTAAGGAGTAACTATCGAACATTAACCGTGACATGTTTCGAAAAGTTTCAAATACTTCTTTGGTGTACCAGATGGGAAGTGCTATATTTAATAATTTCTGAAAATAATATTTCAAAAATAAAAAAAACTTTTTTTTTTAATGAAATATCATAGTATTTTTTAATCCTAGAATGCTACTTACGTGAATTTTTAACAAAGATTGAAAGTGTACAGTAGAGTTCACTATAGAAAATAACGAGTATCCAGTTTGATTCCCCATGTATCTTATAAAGTCTGAATATTTCGATAGGTCCGTTTCAAATTTTTTCGAATTTTTCAGTATTTTGGTGTGAATTTCAGTGAATCTATAAGAAAAATTGTTTAAATTTTTTCATTCTGCCAATCTGTCAATCAATACGTACTTTGGATTTGCATATGGCGCTAGAATAGTATTTGATACACAAAAAGTGAATTGATTCGGCATTGGCGTTAAAGAGAAAAGGCCAGATAAAACTAATACAAGAGACTCTTTCGTACGGGAGACATTGGTACTTATAGCCACCAATTCTTTTTGATCGTAAGTACTTAAAAACCAATGGTAATTTTTTCTAAGGAATTTTCCCAACGTATACTCTTGCTTCCGTCCTCTCTAAACAAATAAGATCATCATGTATTATTCTTATGACTAAACACATTTGCTGGGTGCATAACACACGTAGTGCTGTGATATTCGTGATGATATGAAACACACGATACTACCAGTTTAATGTTGTTTTGTAGATACTATGCACAAAACCAAAGATATTCCCGATGAAAAAAAAATGAAGTCCATTTCGAATTTAGTTCGTTATATCGAACAAAATAATGATCTGCGGCTGCTGATAAACTATTTCAGATTTCGAAGTGCACTTTGTTCAAGGATAGAAAAAGCTTGCACAGTTATATGGTTATTGTATCCCCTCTTACATACGCCACGATTTTCCAAAACCCTGTGCACATGTTGTTAACAACTCAATATTTATACACGCAGAAAAAAGCTACAGGAATTTTTACTGTAAAAGCAACGGTAAAGTTGAGACTGAAAGTTTTAACTGTAATTTTTACTGTGATATTTAGTAAATTTTACCGTAGCTTTACAGTAAAATTTATCCTTATTTACTGTACTTTTGTCCCCTGAAACTAAGGTAATTTTTCCCCTGATTAAAAAAAAAGATTACATCAGTGATTAATACAGTTACTTACATTATTACACACCCACTGATGTAACATTTTTTTTTTAAATCAGGAGAAAAATTACCGTAGTTTTAGGGTAAAAAGTATAGTCAATACGGATAAATTTTACTGTAAAGAAAAAATTACTGAAACGCTAAGGTAAAACTTACTAAACATTGCAGTAAAAATTGTAGTTAAAATTTTCAGTCTCAACTTTACCGTTGCTTTTGCAGTAAAAATTTCTGTAGCTTTTTTCTGCATGTATCATGTTGACTTTAATATTTTTTGCATAGAATTGTACTATGAATTTTTATTGAAAATAATAATATATCACTTTATTGGGCAATTCTTGTGTCATTTTGTAAAAATGTCTAAACGATGTTGTAGCTAAAACTGTTCTAATTTAAGTTTATTTACTTACCTTCGTTAGCTGTCCGAAATCATACCCATAAATAGATGGGTCAGTAATATTTATAAATCTCGCTTCTTCCTCGAGTGGAGTTCGTAGTCCATGTCTGAAAATCTAAATTAACTTTTTTCCTTTACAAATTGCGCCAATAAATTTAATACTATAGTTAATCCCTACTTACTACTTGAATAAGATCCAATGTTAAATCATTATCGTCACTTGTATCGGCAGCACTTACATATGGAATGTAAAATATTAAATACAGGAATAAAGCCCAAAGCATTTTTTTGATTTGGAGAACGAAGTAACAGGCGGTCTTGAAGTTAACTGATAAATGTCTGTCGAGTTTTTTTAACAAATTCACGTATTTACGTGTACATATTTGTGCACCTGAGCGAGATAGCTATCAAGTAACGCATCAGTAATTTATAAACATATGACGGGCCGTAATCGGACTTGTTATTAGTGCAAATTCGCTGCAGCGTGTAATATGGGCCAATGTCGAGTTTGCTGCTGAAAGAAAGTTGAAGTGCCAATCCGAAGCCTAAATCGAATGTTACGGAAAAAATTAAAATTTTCATCTCCTACTTGTTTTTAGAGCCAATTTTGGTGTTCGCTGTAGTGTAAATCTTGATGATCCGAAAGCCAACTCGATAATTTTTTGACTCATAAGAGCGAACTCGTTATCTTTGATAGTACTGCATTCCAATCGTGTATAAAAAATTCGGATTTCACTCAATTATTTATTTAGACAAATTGAGACTCGGTTTTCATTTTATTACAAAATCAGCCAGTTTTTTTATCATCAGATATTAGCGATCTGTTATTGAGAAGTGCTGATTGTACTTAAAAAAAAATTTAGGCTTACAATTAATCATTTTCAAAAAATTGAAAAAAATTATTGATGCTAAAAAACTATGAGAATTGAATTTTTTAAGTGTGAAACAAATATTTCTAGATTAATTGAAACATGAATTAATTATTGCACATGAAAAAAAAAAACCTAATTTCTTTACTTTATTCGTACACGCATCATGAGACGCATATCGATCAAAGGACTTGTATTAAAATGTTGAATCAACCAAAGTGATCTTTTGGTCTCAAACGTCAAGTTTCCTCGTATATTAGTAAGGTCGGCTACAAAAACCTCCTCTGCGTCTGGACCAATTGTTTCTTTTGTACTCGCCCCCCTTGCCCCCTTTCTTATTTGTCTTTGAGCTTCTCGCGCCTCTCCATCCTTTGCTCTGCCACTGTCTGTCTCCATTCGCACCCTCTTCAGCCGCCGTTCGTCGATTCGTCTGATGTTTGAGATTAGAAAAAATTCGCACCCGTGCCGCGTCCCCCGCGGAAAAGCTCCGCTTCAAAAACTCTCAAGGTGTCTCAATGATGAAACGTCTTGAAATGATGAAACAGACACCTCCCGTTCGTGCAAATCGCAAAGATGAACTCCATGTCCTCGCCGTTGTTCCTCGCATGAGAATTTTTTTTTCCTGTATTTACATCACACGCGCGCGAGTAGGTAAACATTTTTCTTTGTCAATTCCTCGAGCTGCTGAAACCTCCTCAATTTTTTCGCCATTCATCGCAACACTCTCTCCCCGCACGGCCACACACGAGCTTTCGGAAATGAGTACTACTTATATACCCGCAAGCTCCTCCTTTCTCGCTTCCTTCCAAGCTTTTTTTTCCGAGACTATAGCTCTTGTTCGAACGCTAGCGTGCTTTTGGGAAATCTCAGTGCACCTGTATAATACACGAAACCCGGACATACGCATTAGATAATGATACTTACAATACGAATGACAGAGAGGAAAAAAAAGCTCGTGTAACGGTAGCGAAACTATAGTCCTTGACCCGCACGTATATTTATATATCATATCGACGACCCGAGCCGATAATCGTCCCCGCGGCGTATCAAAGCTCGGTAGAGAGCGATTACTCCGACAACGCACAGCCACATACAACCCCCTCCTGTACCGATCGCGGGAGGGATACCTTTGACACGGAACTCCTTTTTCATAAGCAGCGCACCACCCGCTAACATGTATATATACATCCCAAGCGCCAGAAAGACAGATCGAAAGCTCGACGCGGACAAGAGGTGTAGAGAGGGGCGTGGGCTGCAGGTTTGCGCGTCCGCTCAATTCGCTCTCCGGGCCAGCCAGCTAGCAACGTCATCATAAGACCTCTTTGTTCTCCGGCAATTTCAGCGGCATTGTCACCGTCAACAATGTCCACTTGACATTCCCCCGCGCATTGTTATAGGGCCATCCCTTCCTCCCTTCCGGCCTCATCTCTCTCTCTCTCTCTCTCTCTCTCTCTGTCGGTCTTGTGTGCTTGGTGCAGTGCTCTCTTTCAATTTCAATCATAAAGCACATCGCGCGAGCCAAGCGCGCACCTACTGAACACACACGTGTACATGTCTATATACACATTGCATACATTGTACAGTATACGTGAAAGAGACGGAGAGGAGATCGAGAGATGATAATAACGGAGGGGAAAAGGAGGAAGAGGCGGTGGGTTACACCTTTGTCGAGTACACATGTGTGGGACCACTGGTCACCGGAATTTGGCCTCTCCCGTCGGCATAATCAAAACTTCTCGAAACTTGGCTCGTGTACTCACACACAGACCGACATCCTCGTACAGATTCAGATTTGGACCCCCTCCTCTTCCCCGTGGTCAAGGGTCTCGCAAGAAAGCCCCTCCGATAATTTACCACTTCTCGTCTCGTACATATTTTCAGCGGAGCAACCCTCCCCCGCCCTTTTTTTTCATCCTCGCGTGCTTTTTTCCCCTCCCATGCATGTGCTCCTGCATACCTGCCCCTTTCGCTTGTTCTTCGGTTAGACCTGTGTGGTGTAATTGTTCTTCTTCTCAACAGCAACAACAACCTGCGCGTGTATCCCACCCATTGTATACGTGTATACATGTAGGTGTACAATACACATTGTGCAACGCGGCCCAACGTCGTTGTAAGCTCCTTGTTGTCGTCTTCCTCCCTCTCCTTGAGCGCTCGCGGCCGCGCTCCGTAGCATTGTTTCGGCGCATTGTTCGACGCCACCAATATTCTATACCTATACGTACAACCGCTGTTGTGTCTTTATGCGCCGTTGCGACTGTCCCGGGAGCTTTGAACGAATATACTCGCCGAACCCTCTCTCTCTCTCTGTATACGTGCTTTTTTCGTCTCGCATGACAATGTGTGCGATGTGGTCTTGCTGCAGGTGATTCCTTTTCTCAGGGATCGCAAGGACAGCTGTAAGTGAGGATTGCCTTAATAGCGACCCTCGTTGCTCGTAAATCCATCGTAAAATCGGTCTACGATCGGTATGGCGATAATTTTTCCGATCGAAACAAAAAGCCTCCCCTTCGAACTTTCAACAAAAAACAAAACAAAAAAAAAAGCTGGATGGATGAAAAACAACAATACAATGCCCGTCAAACGCAACCAACCAACGAGCTTGGGTGCAAGAGTCGATGTGCGTGTATATAAAACTGCAGAACGAATCGGGAGGTTGGAAAAAAAAAAAAAAAAAAATAGGCAGCAAATAACTCGTTCCCGCTATACGTACATAATAATTTTCCGTGTATTAACTGCAGAGTTGCCCGACATGCGTATTTTTTTTCAGATAAATTTCACCGATAGTCCCCAATAAATCATCATCCGTTGTTTTTATGCCTTGGCGCGGACACGACACGCGTACCGTGCATGGTAACTATATACATTCTCTCGCACTTTTGTACATTGTATTAAACACGTTCGAGCATCTCGACCGTCCAGTGGGTGGTTGCTTATAGTACACGTGGTGCTATACACTCGATTCGAAAAGCAATAAAAAAAAAGGAAGAGAACATTCTGCGGTACATTTACATTCGTACAATCTATACAACCGTCCAAGTAACAACAATTAAGCCGCATACAGCGTCTGCGGCGGCGCGGGTGGTGGTGGTACGGTCCGCCCCGTGGCGTGGCTGAGTTGTTCCATTGAGATCGAGAGGGCAGGCGGAGGAGGGCAGACTCGCAGAATTATTCGCGGATTATCAAGCATCGGTTGCCGAGAAGAATAAGGGGCCGCCAGCCGTCATTTAACTTTAACGCTCCAGCTGGCCCTTCATCCTCATCCCCCGGCTCCTTTTTATCGCTAACGTCGAACCCTCGAGGTCCACGCTAATTAAATCTACCCGCATACACGCAGACTGACGCGAGTATTGTACCATGCCTCGCTCTTTTCATGTCGATCCCCCGTTTCTCAGGGAGCTTTTTTTTTTTTTTTTTTTTTTTGTTATGCTCTACCGGGTAGCCACTCTTTATTTCGGGGTTGATGCGAAAAACGCAAAGTTTCCGAAAAACCAAAGGTGTAGGGTAACAAAATCGGTTCCCGTCCGAGCATTGGGTCGGGGGAGGGGGACAAGTAAAAAATAAAATAAAACGAGAGGAACAATCGGGAAGACGAGGGGCGCGCATTCGTCATCGTACGATCGCCGGCTATTATCCTCTGGCACGGGTCCATTCTCGCTTGCTCCGCCGCTGTACTATATACCGCCTTTTCTCCGCGATTTTTCCGCCACATTTGCCTTTGTCTCGCGCGATAACAATGCCCGTCTATATACACAGGACCGCGCTGGCGTAAAAATGCATGCGACCCTCTTCCGTCCCCGTACTTTGGCGCTTTAGCGCGAGTTTTTAATTTGGAGTCGGCCTTCAAGCGGGTCGTTTGACGAGTTTTCGGGTCGCCTGTAGTTTCCTATACGACTGCAATTTTACAGTAAACGCCGGCTCCATTGACTGCGATGTCATTGTAAATTTGTGTCCCTCGCGGGCGCGAAGAAAAGTGGGACCGAAGCTCAGCCCTGATACACCATGAGTTGGACTAACTTTGTGCGATTACAAAATTTATTTACGTACTGTATATACATCTGGGACGTTTTATGCTTATACGTGCGTGGAACTTTTTATGGATTGTATCGTCGAGAGAGAGGGAGGATTAAACTGACTTCAAAGCGTTGACGAAGGGTGAAGCAAAAAAAAAAAGAAAAGCAAATCGGCCGATCGCAATTTGCCCCTTCCCACGCGTCCGACGAGAGACCTGCATATAGCAAAACCGGAGGAATGCGCCAGCGAATCTCCATCTCTGGCGCTGCATACGTAATGTCTGCGCCCCATTGTCGAGAGCGCGGCTCTCTCCCTCTTTTGTCTAGTCGCGGAAAATTTTCTGACCCCCCGCCTCGCGTATCGATCTCGGGGGTACGGGCCCCGATCATTTGCATGTTCATTGTTCGACTGGCGCATCTGCGACGTGAAATTCCGCGCTGGACCATTTTTTTTTTACTTCCCGCCTTCGCGGGTCGATTCCGCGCGCCGAGTCCTTTCAAAAAGGACCTCTGCGCGATATTGATGGCTGCACACGTAGATATACGTATACGTATAGTCCACCCAGGAGTTTTTGCCAATTATTTGTTCGCCTTCTTTTCGCGGTTCGGCTCGCGCGCCTCCGCACTCTCCCCTTCCCTTCGCGCTTGGCTGGAGCTTTACTGCCGAGGCTTCCGTTCTTTTACTTTTCTCCGGCGTTGCAGTTCGCGTGCCATGTACGGTATATATAGTCTGTCTTGTCTTTGGCGCTGGGCTCCTGCGAATCGCAAGGGTTTAACTAAAGGCGAGCCTTGATTTTTTTTTGTACATTAGCAATACACGCGCATCGCCAGACTGGCCGATGGGACATAAAAAAGGCGCTCGGGGGGGGGGGGGGGGGCCCCAAAAAACTCGTGCGTGAAAGTGATTAAAGTTTTCCATATAATAGTGGGCTTACACGCGTAAGACGGTAACGCGGGAGGTTATCCCGATATTGCGCATCTCAACGACGGCGCCTCAGGGGATTAAAAGCTCGGGATGATTCTGATTAAAGCAGCGGCTTCGTTAAGCTGGCTCCGCGTAAGCCACGTGTTGTCGTTTACGCAGGCGTTCCTCTCGAGTGATAATGTTCTACCCCTCCCCCCCTCCGTTTTATACTGCCGCGAGCTTAAACACCCGTTTTATCGATAAATACATTTTTTTTTTTTTTTTCATATCCAACTGTGTATCTGATTGCAAATATTGAATTTTTGCGCTGTTTGTTTTTCTTTTATCTCGGCGATATTGCAACGCGCCTTATCAGTCGAGTCAAATAAAACTCGGGCTTATCGTGGGTACGAAAATAGAAACGTCGACCTCGATATCCCGGTTGAAAAGTTTTTTTCACGCAAACGTGATGGATGTTTTGCGCGTGTCTTGGACAAATTTAATGGTGTAATCGGGGCATTGACGGTACCAAACGATTACATGGTCACGCGTGTAGGAACACGAAAAGAAAAAATTGGGCAAGAGGAGGTACATGGGCAGGCGAACCGAAAGAGCGGAAGAAAGCTCTCTCCGTGACGACTGTACGAGACGATGACGACGGGAGAAAGAGCTGCTGCTGCTCTTACCGAGGCTCTTTTATTTCGCAAACAATGGAGGAGCGCTTTGTTTCAGGCATTGTCAGAAAGAGGGCCTGGACAGTAACGCGCTCACAAAAGTTATAATGAAACGCTATTTATTTAAATGCCCGCGCGCACAAGCGAGCTTGCGCACTATTTGCCAGAGCACTTCTCTCCCTCCCTTTAATCTCTTTTCTTTTTCGCTTTCATTGTTGACTTCTTTTTTTTTTCGTGTTTCTGCCATTTTGTGCATTTTTGTATTTTTTTTTTTTTTTTTTGGCTTTTAGCACAAGTCGAAAATCTTGCGTGTGTAAGAATTTAACGAGTGTTGATGCCAGCAATTGTGTTGAATTTTATTTAACATGCGAGCGTTAAAATTTTTCAAAGTAATCGCTGTTCTTTTCGTAAAACGGCCAGCTTTTCGAGTCCCTGTCATCGCGCAACTGAAGGTCTTTATTTATTTCTAGATAGTACAAGTGCTCTTTGCTCGCTGGTTTCCAAACTGTCGTAATGTACTTGTCATCGGTCTCGGGGGTGGGATTCCTGTAACAATTATTGGAAATGTGGTACGATGAAATTTCTCCGCGATTTTTGGTAATATAATTGTAAATGTCTAAAAATAATCACCCAAACGCTGCAAAATTACTCCACAGGCGAATAATCCTTTCCAAAACTAGCCTGTCCAGAGTACCTTCTTTGGGATACAATTGCTCTGGATTTTTTTTCCTCATAGGAAAACGAGATAAGTAAAACAGGTATGATAACTCGTCAGCGTGGGCGACACCTAAAAAATACGTAGAATTTCATTTTAACCTTTACAAATAAATCTACATTTATATTGGTAAAAAAGGTTCGTGCCTTTGAGAGGCTGTGGGCCATGCTTATTTTGATAAACCGTTAGTTCGTCTCCCATGTAGGAAAACATGTAAACGTAGGTTGGTGCTGTTGCAGATTCGACTCGATGATCGATAACTTGTCTATTGGCGTGAATAATCAAGTCACTTGTCAAACGTATCAAATTCCAGACGTTTTCTGAATCGATTGGCTTGTTCTTTAAATAAAATTCTTGCACTTCTTTCATTAACTCAGGAAATACCGTGGGGTCTTTTAATTTATTTCTGATTATTGATTCTATATGATCGTTGTAGTATTTGTAGGTGTCGTCGGTAAATTTATCTAAAATTTGTTGAAAAATTAATTTAAACATTAATTCAAATTAAAGGAAATTAATATCGGATCTTTTTATCATTCCAGTATAAATTATCTAAGCCACCTTAACAAATGT